GCTACCTAGTGGTTTAAGTTTCTTTATGAAATCCATTCTTCTTCGGATTTTCTTCAATGGCGAATAACCCGCTCTTGTGAAGGACTGACGCACTTCTAACCTATCACAGCTCACTCATTACGCAAAAAAAAAAGCCTGGGCCCATAACCTGTTATAGTAAAAACGCTACACTTCAGTTATTAACATGTCCTTACGGTTTATTATTAATAAACAAGAGGAGAAGCACTGCTTCTCTGTAATAGAAACAAAGCATGTCTGCACTTTACACGTTACATCAACATTCTGCCTAGCTTCATCATGGCTACCAACTTCTTAACTTTTCTTCATCAATATTACAGTCTCTCAACAATAGATACATGCATTTCATCTATTTCTCTTAGTGCCTGGGCTTGAATGCCTCCACACAGCAAAACTGTAATGCAACTATTGACTTTTTGGACATTAGCCATAATCTTGTCTTTCATTTAAAAACAATGCCTGGAGACATGGACTAGCTCTGTTGACTGGACCCAATTGAGTAGGCTCTTACCTGAGGATGGAGACAGTTTCTTCTCCATAACATTATTTTTAAATTAAAAACCGGACGATGGACAATGTCCAAGAAGTCAATAATTATGTTAATATACCATCATCACAGAGTTGTAATGACTTCACAATGATTAACAAGATGAAATTTGGTCAGATGAGTCACCATCTGCATATGGTGGTGAACCAGATGACTGCAAACAACCAAAAACTGTTCAGCTAATTAGTCAGTGTCTCTATATTAGTTAAAAGCATTATTTTTTCAAATCAGTTGCAATCCGCCTTCCTACTAGACAAACATAATGCATGTTTACAATATTATATTTCAGCATCCTGTTACACTCACACAATATATATGGATAAATACCGTCTTAAGTGCAACAAATTTTATTGTAGTTTTTACTTCTTTTCCTCCTCCACACTACATGTTTCGGCCCTAAATGGCCATCATCAGGTGTGTATCACTCACGTAGCTGTTACACTGCTTGTTAAAATTTAAAATTACCAGTCTTTCTAATTGTATAAAATCTTTGTTAATCTACACGCGTCGATTTGATTTTTAAATTAGCACTTTTTAAAACTTAATTCAAGTTAAAATGTCTATAAGATCTCTGTTCTTTCTTTTTCAAATTTTTAGTTAAAATTTTTTCAGGGTACATGCCCTATATCTACGGTGCTGCAGCGGCCACTTCTTGTTTTTATCGTTGTTCATGTGTTGTCTGTAATATACAAATATTCCTGTTACTATCTTATGTTATGTCATGTTATGTTATTCTTATANCAGCGACACACACAGAGAGCGCCTACACTGAACAACACATGAACAACGATAAAAACAAGAAGTGGCCGCTGCAGCACCGTAGATATAGGGCATGTACCCTGAAAAAATTTTAACTAAAAATTTGAAAAAGAAAGAACAGAGATCTTATAGACATTTTAACTTGAATTAAGTTTTAAAAAGTGCTAATTTAAAAATCAAATCGACGCGTGTAGATTAACAAAGATTTTATACAATTAGAAAGACTGGTAATTTTAAATTTTAACAAGCAGTGTAACAGCTACGTGAGTGATACACACCTGATGATGGCCATTTAGGGCCGAAACATGTAGTGTAGAGGAGGAAAAGAAGTAAAAACTACAATAAAATTTGTTGCACTTAAGACGGTATTTATCCATATATATAATGCATGTAAATAGAGGTACCCGTCAAATAATATGAAAACTAGATAATCCTGTAAGCATACAAACGGTCCTCCAAACATTCTAACCACTTCATACATGTATACAAGCAAGAAAAGTGTCACTATGACATAACATTACGATTGTAACAACCTGCCTTAATAGGACATAATATATGCAAAAGGTAAAGGTAAAGTTGTTCCTGTGCTTAATGAGGGTGTATGGGGGAGTGGAATACTTCTTAATAATATTTTAATTATTTAATTTATCTCACTTAAAATTTTTATCTCATATTGTATTTTATGTTTTATATTATTATATTATGGTATATTGTCAAAAATCCAACACTGCACTGAATTATATAGCATGAAGTTCAATTGCTTAAGAACATGTTAATTGTGTAATTTGCCTAATGACGGCTTTCTAAAAAGCCAACACATACATAATTGACATACCCAACTCACATAATCATGCATCCATTTTCATTTTGAAAATCGGTTTAAAATTATGTAAAATATTTAAGAATTTAATCTACAGGGCAGTCTTAAATGTGCTATGATATCACTTTTTGTATACGATTTATAAATAAATGACAAAATAGCACACCTACAGTCAATGAGCATGGCAAGAAGCTGCATTTTCAAGACTGTCCTCACAAATTAAATTGTTAACCAGTCCAAAAGGTTGCTGAAATAGAACAGTATGTAAAATTGACATGAAGAATATATTTTCAGATGTAAAATCAATACATCTTTATAACATAACCATGTGAAACACCTCAGAAACTTGTTCTGTCCAATTATCATATATAGTATATATATTTTCTTCAACTTGAATCTTACCTGCCAAAGTAAGCCGGCGAAGCACTGTGCCTGAATTTAAGGCATCACTTGTCACCATAGATATGTCATTATCATCGAGCCTTAATTCCTGGAGATTTCTTAGTGGAACCACTAGGTCAGCAGTAAGTGCTCGTAAGAAATTGTGAGCCAGGTCAAGTTGCACCAGTCTTGTGAGATGTGCCAAGGAGTTTCCAGACACTGCTACAATACGATTGTGTGCCAAGTCAAGTTGTGTGAGTGTCCGCAACTCACTAAATGCATTGTCTTCAAGAACATCAATCTGATTGTGATGCAGGGTGAGAGAGACGAGTGAGGTGAAACCTGTAAGTGCACCTCGACGAACACTGCTAAGTTGATTGTGAGCAAGCTGCAGAACTCTCAGTGCTGATAATGCAGGAAGAGTAGTTGCGCCTAAAGGACCTGCAAGCAAGTTATCACTGAGGTCCAGTTCCTGAAGAGAATGCATTCCCTCAAGAGCTGATACGGCATTCACACTCAGTTTGTTCCCTCGCAAGCGTAGTGTCTGTAGCTTTGATAATGAAGAGATGGCATTAACTTCCAAGACAGACAGTCTGTTCTCACTCAGTTCCAAGAAAGTGAGGTTAGACAGTCCCTGTGGAATAAGAAGACATGTCAGAATTTTATACCAGCTTTTGGGAATATGGAATAAGATTTGTTACTTGTTCCAAGGAATTGGCTGTAAGTCATTTGACTATACACATTGAGGCAAACATATGTTACATGAGATAGTACAAAACTTATCACTAATTATTTACAATGGTATTGACCATTTTATTACATCTCATTGCTTCCGCATTGGACTGTCAATTTAAGGTCTCCCCTTTTCTAAATTTCAAACTCATTTTCATACAGTGCACCCATTACTCACAAATGAGACCTGCAGACCCGGAGACTGCAACCACTACATCAGAAAGAAGAAATGCTGCTATCAAGTGAGGATAAATTGGTTTGTTATTACTTTTTTACTTTAGGATTTTATTTGTTTAATGTGTTCACTGTCATGAATATCCACTGCAGTTTGGCCGATTATAAGCCCATTAATGACTCGACCAACCAACCAATGAACCAGTAGCATGTAGGCAGTATCTGAAATCACATACATTAGAACTAGGTACACTTGAGACCCTTCAGAGAAAATGTGCAATAAAAAAAGACCGAACTTTGGAGCAACCACAACTGGCCCCTGTCCACACTTCCCTCAAAACCACACAATTTGTGACTAACAACATGGTTATCTTTCCCCATCCTCCCTACTCGCCGGACTTTGCCCCCTGTGATTTTGCCTTGTTTCCCAAAATCAAAATGAAGCTGAAGGGACAGCGTTTTGAAACAGTGTCTGATATCCAAAGGAAATTGCAAGAGGTAGCCGACAGCATTAAGTAAACTGACTTCCATGGCGCTTTTGAAGCATGGGAAAAAACGTTGAGACCACTGTACAAATCAGAGGCAGTTCTAAGTCCCACTTCTGCCGGTCTTTTGTATGGTGTCAATGTTATGTTCCTTATAGCTTGTTAAAGCCTCATGAAGGGTCTTTCACGACTTGCTGGTGACCCTTGGAGCTCCGAGGTAGTGACTGATGTTAGTAGGTCTGCAGAAGCTTACTAATCCCCAGCAAAAGCAGACTGCTTCTTCTGAGTAGGGAACTGGTTTCCCCCACCAACTGTTCCTATCGATAGTAAGACAGCGAGTCACAGTGCACCGTAGTAACATAAGCGTATCACTGTCGCTTTCACACAAAAGTTTATAGCTGTATATCTGCTAGTCCAGTGGGATACAAAGATTAAGTCAGAATTTGAACAAGTTGAGAATCGTCTTAAGCAGAGGAAGTGGGCAAGAAAGAGGTCATGTCTTTTAAGCCACTAGATCCGCAGAGTTGAGGCGAACAAAGAGCGACGACAATTTCCAACCTAAGTAACAGTCATACAGTGTGTCCTCGCATGCAGTGGGGTGGGACTAAGTCCCTTGTACTGCGGCCACTTCTGGCATATTGTACCAGCCCCAGATGATAGGTGAGGGTGATTGTGGAGCAATTGGTAGAATGAAGATTGGCAGGGGAAACCGAAGTACTCGGAGAAAACCTGCCTCAGCGCCACTTTGTCCACTACAAATCCCACTTGACCAGACCCGGGATCGAACCCGGGCCGCCGCGATGGGAAGCCAGCGACTAACCGCTTGAGCTATGGCGCGGCCTCTGTAGATAGGTATGTATGTATATAGGTAGGTAGGTAGGTAGGTAGGTGGGTAGGTAGGTAGGGAAGGGGAATTCCGGCTATGGCCGATGTCCCGCCTCTCACCTTAAAAGAGCCAGCGGTGAGGGTCTCGAGGTGGTTGTGCGAGAGATCGAGTCTGTCCAGCGTGGGGAGTGCCGAGAGCGCTGCCGTGGGCACGGTCTGCAGCTTGTTGTTGGGCAGCCCGAGGGCTTGCAGCGGTCCGGCCAGCCCCGAGAATGCCCGCTCGGAGACGTGATGTATCTCTCCCGAAGACACAACCAAGCCATGCAAGAGGACGCCCTCTAAGAGCAGATCAGGCAGCACGCTCACATTCTGGACCGTACAGTCCAACAGCGACACGGTTGCAGGCGGTACCAGCCCCCGAAGAACATCCCCGATCACCTGCGAACCCAGTGAGTGTTAATTACTGTCTGAAGACGATATCCCTGACATTAAAAGCTCAATTATAGTGGTATATTGTAAAATCAATGAAAGAGGTAAGGAGAGAATAAAATGGAATGAAGCGAATTTGGTACTTGCGGGTTCAGATTTCCATATTCTAAAGCGAGTAATTTCTGTGGAAGAACCTGAGATTGAAGGGAAGAATGTTATGCCCCAAAATTCGAGATAGTAGAGGTAAGCCACTGCCCAAAATGTTCGCGACGAGCGAACAGTGTTGCACAGCTATTGCCGCAACATGTAAACATCAGTAATGGCAAGTAGGGTAAGAATTTGCTGGCTCAGCAAGGCTGTGTCCTCACAGCGCTAGAAGTTTGCCTAACTCGGGCACTGGAGGATCGGAATAGATCGCTTACACAGCGATCAGACGCAAGGGGGTCTGCCCACATCCCGATAAGACCCAATGAAAGCCTAACTTTAAGAAATTAGAACACAAGGGAGGAGCTATCTACCCCCTTGTCGTCCACGCGGAATCAGCGAATTAAGACTATAAATGAGGGAAATTCAAGAGACTTGGAATTCTGATTTTAAACAGAATATTCAGTTGTCAGCCGGAGGCTCTCAACGACATGTATTCCATAAGAGGGTGGACAACGGCCGTAATCTACATTTGTATTGCAAGTAAGTCTTTTCGCTCATATACGCCATGCTGTTAGACGTTATTGTTAAGAAAAGTGTTATTGTGAGATCATAAGGCAGTCTCCAGTGTACCAAGTGAGAGCCAGGGTAGAACAGGGTAGAAATGAACGGAGAGTGACAGACAATGATAGGAGCACAGTTTCAAGGCACCTCCCCTCCACAACCAAGGTCGGTAGAATTAGTTTAGGATAAGAGTCATGATAGACAGATCAAAAGCAAACCTTTTTCTTCATGTAATTATTATTGTAAATAGACAGTGTACATAGTAGAAAATGTACGCAGGGAGTTCTGATTCACCCGCCAGTAACCATCCTGTCCTCGACCGATCCCGAGCTACCATAGCTAAGACAGCCGACGGCAGCCGAGTGTAGCGCCGATGTTAGGAAATGAGTAACGACAGGCCCAAGTAATTATAATTTCTCACCCCCTCCCCCCTGAGGTGTAACAAAGAAAGCTATCAAGAAACTAGGGATTAACAGGCAAGTTGCTTTAATATAAAACAGTTTCTAACTTGAAAATGAGTCATATGGTGCACCCCCGTATTCACGAATGAAGATCTGGTATAAGCATTACATCTCGATCGGATTAAATATCACTACGGAAATGGCGCTATACTACATTTAAGTATAACTTATAAGCTTCTGTTTTATTTATAACTAGAAGAAAATACTGCTATTTGCTGTGGTTATGGTTGAGTTTCTTGTCAATATCACATTATACGGCAGCTAAAGCTTCGAAAGGGATGACACTCAAATTAAGACATTGAGGTACACTAGTGTAATTATATAAAATGAAAACGATTGGGCATGACAATTCAAGTCGCATTAAAAATTTTACCGCAACACTTCGCTTTAAATTACACAGTTCTAACAACCTTCACTGCCTGTGTTGAGCACCAGACCGTGAAGGGATATGGGGGAGTGGAAATTAGCTCCATTTTTTTAACTCGGCACTAAATGGGAGTGGTCAGCTTCACGTCCCGGCCCCTTTACCCCCGGTACCAATTGAATAGGAGGCTGGGTGCACCCCAGAGTCGGTCTGGACGACGTGGACAAGAGAAGAATCTTGCACTGCCGGGAATCGAACCCGGGCTATCCAGCTTGTAGTCCGTCGTTATCCTGAACTCCAAAAGTGTGCAATAATTTCGTAATATCCCAGTGTTTTTTTTTGTGTTGGGTCCGTGGTAGAAAACAGGATATAGAGAGGCAAAAATTAATGAAAGTTACGTTTTTACATATGCAGTATAGAGTTCCCCGCAGATCGCTGAGCCGCCGAGGCGGAGTCTGATCCTTCTCCCGTCTAATCGCTTCTCGGAATCGGCAAACATATAGCATAACAAACTGCAGACTGCAGCAGATCCCGTACGTGCTCTCTGCTATTTCGCAGACATTCCTGGCATTTCCGATAAATATTTACATTCAAGCGTTGAAGTTCTTACACGGAAATAAATTGAACTCGAAACTTGAAACCCTCGCCTTCTATGCAAGGCATCTGAGGGATCTGCGAGAGGAATTTTCAAACCTAGTGCAGATTTCATCTAATTAAACACTACATACTCGACGTTCCGGCTTGTTTGAGTGTGTTGTGTTCAGTAACGATGAAATTGATACTACGTTTCAACATTCCCTGAAAGAGAGATAACAGAGAGCATTTCCAGCGTCTACTCTAAAGTTGGCAAGATTTGTTTGTAACTTGTTAGGTGACAGGCTTGTCGATTCCGCTGGTAGCAGCTCGAATTTCTGTGCCCAGAACAGGGGAGCGCCTAACCAACACATCAATTTTTCGCTCATTCATCAATGGCTCTACAGCCCTTTGTTGAGCCCTGGCCTCCACTTGAGTTTCGTAATCTTTTTTACACAGACGGTAGGGCTCTTTGGACGAGTGATCAGCACGTCGCAAGGTCGCTACCTACACACGGGACAACACACACACACAGAATAAACGCAGACATCCATCCATGTCTTGAGTGGGATTCGAACCCACGTCCCAGCATTCGAGCGAGCGAAGACAGTTCATGCCATAGACCGTGCGGCCACCTGATCGGGCCAATGAATATATCAGTGCAATTATATTCTGTACTGATGGCGAAAATCTTGTCTGTTTGTAGGTTTTGAGGTTTCACATGGGTGGTTATGAACAGTTTGCCTCCTTACTGCTTCATGCTAGTTTTTTGCTTGGCTTATTCATCGGCCCTGAAGTTCGATGCAATATGCTCCTCTGAAATGTCGGCAAAGTTCCAACGGACTGCATGGCGGTATATCTTAGGAAGATACATAATATAGAAACTTTCAGGTTCATTTACTAACTTTCCTACGAGGCCCTCCTACCCGTATCACCCCTGACGTAAGCAAAATGGAAGCCATACCCTCATGTAACAATGTTGAAGTTGTTCAAATTAACTTCGAAATAACTATTCAACTTCTTAGATTTCAGGTTCTCACAGGCGTGCCCATGAAGAGTACTGCTTTTGGGATGTGATGTCGTGTAGCCAGGTAGACCTTAATCGACGCTTCAGAGTAACTTATTGCCTCCATCTTCAGGGCTGAACAGTACGTCAAGCAAGAAAAATGCAAGCTTTATATTGTGCTCAACGAAATAAAGGCTCGTTTACATACGTGTACATGAAAATATATTAAGAGATATATTTTCTGGTGTATATCGCTATGTAGTCCATTAAAAGGCCATTGACGTTTGGGAGAAATATGTCACCCCCACCTTCAGGGTGGAAGAATAAGAAAAGCAAAAATTCAGTGTGAAGGAGGTAGCAAGTAGAGTTGTGTTCCAGAAAGTAAAACTTTCATTGCGAGCGCTGTGAGAAGCTCAGAGCCTACACGGCAATATATCAGTTTTCTCACAAAAAGGTAACTTAAATGAGAAGAAAGACACAACTTTGACGTTTGTCTGATCTCACCTGGAGAGCGGAGTTGTCGCCGATACACCGCAGAGTGTGGGGCAGGTCACATGAACAGGACACTGCAGGCGGCTGCGTGATCTCAGGGCATCGCCACGGGGTTTTGTCCGTGTCGTTCCGACCCGACACTAGACTAGCCAGCAGAAGCAGCAAGAGGAGCGCCAACATTCTGCAACAATGAGTCCATATCTTTAATTGTTTCTTGCATCCTGTTGTGTATTTAATCAATATTAGAGTCAATTTTACCGACCACACAACATATTTTTATTATTATTATTACATTACATGTTTCGACCTCAAGAGGTCATCCTCAGGTGTACGAACACAGCTGTATAATTACATGCAATCACATTCGTCTTCTCACTTATTCGATCCTGTATCTTATTCAGGCCCACGCTCAATAATATATCAAGCTCTCTCATAAAACACAAGTTAAAATTGAAGAAAGTCGTCTTCTGGGTTTAGGCGCCGTGTATTCTTCGTTTTGGCCGACGTTCCTCCGAAACGTTGGCCAAAACGAAGAATACACGGTGCCTAAACCCAGAAGACGACTTTCTTCAACAAAATATCAGTTTGCGAAATCTGCATATCTGCTTTCGGACTGATAGCAATAACCAAGGGATCAGCACTACGCATACGGAGTTTCTATCGTGAGANTATTATTGAGCGTGGGCCTGAATAAGATACAGGATCGAATAAGTGAGAAGACGAATGTAATTGCGTGTAATTATTCAGCTGTGTTCGTACACCTGAGGATGACCTCTTGAGGCCGAAACATGTAGTGTAATAATAATAAAAATATGTTGTGTGGTTGGTAAAATTGACTCTAATATTGATGAGTCCATATAATGCACATACATATACAGTACGTAAATCTGCTACTCACATATCACCTGAACAGACTGTAGACGCCTCTACTCCATATTTAATTAAATTTAGCACAACGAATAGTAAGTCAAGGGGCACGTGGTAGAGTGATTGGTTGAGGCACTATGCTATAAGCCGGAAGATTGGGTTCCATTCCCGATGAGGTCATTAGATTTGTTTTCAACTGACCTAATCCTTCCAGTCGAAGTATGGCTCTGGGGTGGACTCAGCCTCTAACAGAACTTAGTATCAGGAATCTTCCTGGGGGAGTAGGGCGGCCAGAGCGTAAGGCTGAAATCCTCACCGCCATCTGTGAGCTGACTGTCTAGAAAATATGAGAACTTCGACGTCTCACAACCCTATGGGTCTCCAAGGCTTCTTACAGGCAAACAAAAGCCGAGGCTTGTATTTAATGCCGCGTTACCATCTGTCTGGGTAGTTAGCCATGTAGAAGAATACTGAAGAAACAATTGATTCATGGGTGCTGTTATTTAGGATTGTCAACATATAAAACAACAACAATCAGATACTGAAATGAGATGTGGGGTTTCAACAAGAGACGTTTGGAAGGGGCACAGATGAGCTTCGTAGAGCTCTGCTGGGTTATACAAGATCGGCCAGATTGACAAAGGAATGCAGACACGACGGAAAGTTAGGAAGTTCAAAATACTGTGGACGACATGCGTCATAATTTGGGAAAGTTTGGGTGTGAGGCACCGCACAGGAATCCGGGCTGTAATGGCAAAGGAAATAGAGGTCATTCCAGAAAGAACTGGAAGAAAATCTATTGGATAAGAGTTGATGAGGAAGCCTAAAAATTAAGAATTGATACAAATGTTAAGGCGTCTACGTTGTAGCCCAAGAACTGCGTACTTTTATCCTCGGTGTGCACTATTATAATCAGTGCAGAACAGACAGATTCCTGTAGCATTAGAGGTTCTTTCAGTGAAGAGTTGTCTCCTCTGAGATACGAAGCCGTGTCTTGAAAGGCAACCAACGTTTCGCAGGAACATGTTGACCCTATCATGAAGATTGAGGCGACATGTTCCTCCGAAGCGCCACTTGATTTTCAACGGACTACACGGCGTTCTATCCCTGATGAAGGGCTTCAGAAACGTTTCTGCTCTACTATATCCCCCCCTTTTTTATTGCTAGTGGTGTGGGACTAAGTCCCTTGTACTGCGGCCAATTTTGGCCTATTGTACCAGCCCCAGATGATAGGTGAGGGTGATTATGGAGCAACTGGTGGAATGAAGATTGGCAGGGGAAACCGAAGTACTCGGAGGAAACCTGCCCCAGCGCCACTTTGTCCACCACAAATCCCACTTAACCAGACCCGGGATCGAACCCGAGCTGCCGCGGTGGGAAGCAAGCGACTAACCGCTTGAGCCATATTTCCCCTTACGGACGGCAACAGAGGCCCAGATATGAATGTTTCCCTTATAAGAGTAAGGATGCGCCTCTTAAAGCCCCTTTTCCGTAACGCACAATTAGCCTTCACAAGCTACGCAATGTATTCACAAATTAGGATCTGGAGACATTTTGATGGAGGTGTAAGCATTAAGCTACATTTGTTGCACATGAAGTATTAACACCAAATCCATAAGAATCTATTCTTGACTGTATACCCATGACATCTGACCGCCTCTGTGGTCAGAGTTCCTGGCTACAGATCCAGAGGTCCCGGGTTCGAGTACCGACGCTACCAGATTTTCTGAGAAGTAGTAGGTCTGAAACGCGGTTCACTCAGCCTCGTGAGGATAATTGAGGAGCTATTTCAAGAAAATAGCGGCTTCGGTCTAGAAAACCGAGATTAACGGCCGTGGGGATCCGTTGCGCTGACCACGCGACACCCTCTATCAGCTAAAGTTGGTACTAACTTAGCCGACAAGCGAAGGTCGCTCGATCGATATTGTTCGCTTGCGGACTACAGGCCACGGAGTTTGGTTGTTTGTATCTATAATATCTGAAGTTCAAGATCAGTGTCGAAAATTGGGATAACCTAATTTCAAATGCAATAGTTATAAACTCTATTTAAATTACTTAAGAGCATAGTTGTTCAATGACCTTGAAGCTAATGAATTAGTCACAATATCTTATGCAGATGACTTAAGTGCTAGTGGCAAAGCGAAGCCATATTTTTTGTTCAATTGGTTTAATGTATTTACAGTCACGAATAACTAGTCTAATCGAATGGAATTAGACCAAAAATCTATTTCCGTTTACATACATCAGCATGTACTGTAACCGAACCATTGAAATCCTTCCCCCCTTCTTTTATTTCAGTAATTATAAAGTAGACAGTAAGAATTACTAAGAAACAGGTTAAGACACAGTCAGGACAAGCAGATAGACCGAACTTGCGCTGACAAGGACATCTGTTAGTTCTTGCGTCCAGGCCTTTGGTGTTGCTTCGAAAAGGGCAGAAATGATACTTCATGGAACCCCCACTGAGTTTCTTTAGAAATTGAGAAGTTGACTTAGAACGGCAAGCCACTTTGAGAATTCGAGACGTGACAGTCGCAAGCCGTAATAAGTCAAAAGGGGGAGTGCCAGGGGATCATTAGCGACCCTCGTAAGTTGCATCTCTGTCAATTTCGTCGTTTGGAAGTTTAAGCCGAAACTACTTCTAAAACAATCGGTCATTGGCCGGAACCAAAATTAAGCCAACTCCTCTTATTTGAATCAACCTATCAGGGAATTTAGCAGGAGGAGACAAGAGGCGGATGCAATTCAGTTAGGACCTCTGGCTCGGCAGAGGGTCCAGTTTAAGATTAAGAGTCTGCTACAAAACTTTGAACTTGGCGGAGGTAAAACCCGCGAATATACTTGCGTGTTAAGCTAAGTAATTTGGACAAAGTGCAACACCGGCGGCTTGGAAGCCGAGACTAGGCCTGATAGTGTTGACTTAGACTCCGAGTGACTGTGAGAAACAATAAAGTGTTCCAGTGGCAAACTGCATTGTGTTGGTCAGAAGTGCTTCACCCTCACTTGTCCGAGCCTGACCCTTAGCCGACCTGAGGTGAGACTCATCGCCAGGAGCTAGTCAAACCCATCGCCAGCTTCCACCCACTCACGCCTTCCCTCCTTTAAAATGAATCGCAAACAGCACCTAGCTGTTTGCTGGCGCCCATAATATCAGGTTCTATGCTGAAAGTCCAACCCCGTAATCAGCAACGGAAGGAGGAAGCGGTGGAGCCGGAAGAAGCGGTGGAGCCTGGTCAAGCCGGAACCAGCCACGCCCTAACAACTTCAACGGAGGCAGCACCAGGTAGGGCAGTCAAAGTGACAAGTGGCAACCACCTTGTGGGCAAGAAGCCTAAAAAAAGGGGTGGCGGTTACAGTACTTCGTGTTAACACCAGATTATTGTGGATGAACTGGTGATTTTTAATTTCTCTGCATTACTTCGTGCTGAAAAATAATTCAGTAAAAATAAATTTCGTAAATGCAAAAATTGATCTGTTCATTCGTTTCTGTCTGCTGATCGTCAGTCTGACTTTCATGACCGCCTAAGATGATATTGATATATTCGTAACGACTGTTACTTATCTGAAATTATTTTTAGCAACAGCGAGGAGATATTTCATTGTGATCATGATTGAACGATTGGAGAAAATGTCTGGAATCCCGTTGCATTCAAAGTGTATTTCCACAGCGCTGGGTCTGCTTCATGCTGACAATGATGGACGGTCATGAGAACTTGACGTTATACGCCCACTGATCATGTTGATGGCAGTCAACTCTTGAAGGTCTGAATGGTCTTTGGATCTCTGCATGTCTGTCTCCGGCATGAATACAACAAACACATGTTCAGCCACACATCGGACTGGGATATTATTGCAAAGACAAGAATCTCAGAAAAGATTTCCAATAAAACTTTCTCGAATCAATACAAGTATTATGTTTTTGGACGTTAACCATCGTCCTGTTTATTTTTCAAAACACAACGTTTCGGATACTGAATTCTGTCTCCGTCTTCAGGTAAAACCTACTCAGTTGGACCCAATCGATAGAGCTATCTCCGGAGATAGGGACTAGCTCTGTGTGTAGGTACAATAGATCACTGTGGTCGCGGTGCAAGGGCCAAGAAGGCCCACCCCTTATACATTCATTCATTCAACTCTGTGTGTGGTTAACGTGTCAGCCAGACTCGTTATGACCAGTTTCATTAGGAATTGCCAACGTTAATGAAATGGTGACTGGATACGAGCAACATACAGACTATGATCACGGTGGTATAGCTTATTTTAAGGAACAAACTTTGTATCTTATTGCTTTTGAAGACGTGGGGGTAAGGTCAG